AGTCAAGGACATTCGGCCTGCACCTGGATGGGAGTGAGTGGGGGTTGTCTCCAGTTGGGATGGTGAACTGATTGGACCATGTGATGGATTTGTAGATGCAGGGGATAGATCTTTGACTTTCTTTTGGGTGGGGAAAACTGGAACTCTCAGATTCAGGTTTTCCCAGATGTGCCAATATGACATCTCCAATAAAATGGAACTTTGAGGAACTTCAAGCCTCAGGGTCTTCTTTTGTTGGGAATGTTACTTTGAATCCTGACACAGTCAATACTGCCTAGACCCTTCTTGGTGTGCCTGCAAATACTGTATCTGCCCTTCTCTCATCTTTCCAGGGTTCTGTTTGTTTTTAGGGGTCGAATCCATAACGAAATCCTAAGGATGATACTGGCTTCTTTTCTTTTTTTCTCTTCTCTAAAAGAGAGAAATTTAACTGCACTCCTAGATTTTTTTCTTTTTTTCTTTTTGAGTTGTTATCCACTGTGTGATGGTTTTCTTCTTTTGAAAAAATAAGGAAAGGACAGCTTTAGAAGTTAAGTGAGTAAGTAGCTGCTTTGAAATAAATCTTCTGCAAGCATTTATTTATGTGAAAATACTAGATGTCTCAAAAACAATAACAAGTACCTGTTAAGAAGAATATTTTTCAGTTTGTATGATTCTTCTGATCTAAATAGGAACAAATGGATTGCAGAAGGGAATTGCTAGCTGTTTTGGTCTTTCCCCATTACATTCCTTACTTTTCTAATCACTTAACACCTTTCTATATGATCGCTTTGTAGTGCAACAAATGCATAGTTATTTCTTTGGGACGTAGTATGAGATGTTATGGGATTCTACAAAGAAATGCTTCTTCTGGGTTTTGAGGACATTGTATCTTTTTCAGTACACAAAGCAAAATATAATGTCTATGAAAAGTATTCTTCCCTCCACTATTAAGGCATTATATTTAAACTGCAGGGTTTGGGGGCTTTCTGGATCTGTGGGGAACTAATGAAAAATGTTTGCGACATCATGGATGTTAATAACAGCATTCAACCTCCAAAGAGAATGCTTACATGAAAGCTGCCATTAACAATGATACAGTTAACCTGGCAGCCAATTTTCACAGTGCTTTTCTGAAACCACTACAGTAGTTAAATTCCAGTGGAGTGTTTCCCAGGGTGGGCCAAAACGTTTGTGAAGCCAGCACAAAAATCCCATTTTGGAGCAAGAATAATGGAAGGATTGGAGGGAATGTTGGAAATCATATAGTCCTATCCCCTGTTCTTAATAAACTTTAACATTTATTGCAGAAGTGTAAATCATATATATATATGGGTGGGTAGAGCGAAAAGATGTTGGAGTTCTTCTAGACCAACCCCCTCTATAGACCAACAAACTCTATAACATTTTAGACAAATGGTTGATCAATCTTTTCTTAAACATTTCCAGTGTTGGAGCATTCACAACTTCTGGAGGCAAGTTGTTCCACTGATTAATTGTTCTAATTGTCAGGGAATTTCTTTAGTTCTAGGTTGCGTCTCTCCTTGATCCATTGCTTCTTGTCCTGCCTTTGGGTGTTTTTGAGAATAGGTGGACCCCTTCTTGATTTGACAACCCCTGAGATATTGGAACACTGCTATCATGTCACCCCGGCATGATAGCATGTCATGAATGAAACATACTATAGTTATTAAGGTGATAGAAAGCTATCATGGAGATCCAGATCCATTGGTTGGAAAAGGTGCTACTAGCTTCCTGATTTTTCCTCCCTCTCAAATGCCTTACCCTAAAATGACTCTTTGTGACTGACAGTAGCTAATGAAATCTTCTGGTCACACTGTGGCTTGATTCACTCTTCTTCATTTCTGACTATATTTAAATGCATCAGTGCATCAGTTAACTTGGACTGGTAAAGGGCAGATCCTGATTTTGATCTAGCCTCAGCCATAGAAGCTCACTAGCTCAAAGTACACAGTAATTATAGTGGGAGATATTTGGAGGAGGGAGTGTTACAGCTACTGTCTGATGCTCCTGAAGGAAGCATGGGCTATAAACCAAGCAATTTGAGGAAGTAGCAAGAGAATTAGTATACTAAACAAGTAAAATGTAACTGCTTTAAGAATGAATAATGATGACAACATAGAAATTGTATTATTGTAATATTGGTTTCTTTCATACATTCCTTCTATATGTGCTAAAGAAAGAGGATAAGTAGGGTTGTTGGCCCTGAATCTGATGTTCTTGTATTTTGCTATTTCCAAATATCTGCAAAAAATATGTATTATCCTTAATTAAACTTCAGCTAATTAGAGCCCAAGTGAGATTGGTCCCATTCTTGGTAGCCGTCCAGAAGTTCTTCAAAATGTGGTTATGTCAATAGGCTTGCAAATCTCAGAGAAACAGAGAATTGTTGAGATGGCTTCATTGTTTAAGGCTCTGGGATAGTGTCTATTGTGTGCAGGACATGCGATACAATAACACATCTTGTAGGAACTCCATTTTTATATTTCTGGATATGGGTATTATAGCCATAGATATGATTTCCTATTAAGATGAAACCAACTAACATTCTAATTAAAACCATCATAATACACAATCAGACAAGCCACCGACACTTCACCCTTTCGTATATGCAGAATATATGTCACATGGATGTAACCAAAATCATTTCAGAAGTGCTTACTTTTCAATATATGATATAGAATGAAAAACATACTGAGTTCTAATAAAAGACCGGAAGTCAGGTAAAACACAAACTGGGGCACACTTGTCTGCCCTTGAAAAGTATTCAGAAACTTCAGCTGGTACAAAACGCAATGGCATGGCCATTGAACAATGCATGTCACATCTTGCTCTGCAAGCTGCATCAGCTGCCAGTTTGTTCACAGGTCCAATTCAAGGTGCTGTTTTTGATCTTTAAAGCCCTGAATGGCATGGGACTGGGCTATCTGAGGGAGAGGTTCTTCCCTGGTTATAATCAGCTCATTCCACTACATCTGGAAGAGAGTGCATGCTGCTGTTTTTATCGACTAAGGGCCTACATTTGTTGGGTCCCAGGAGATGTGTCTTCTCTGCGGTGGTGCCTGCCTTATGTAACTGTTCTGACCTAGCAGCATGAAGCTGAGTCCTCATCCCAATAAACCCCCTTTATTTAATTTACAGTAAATTCCTCTCCAGCAAAGTCTTTCCTCTCCTACAGTCTTTCAAGATAGTTCACAATTACTGACCTATATCAGTCTTGGAGAGTGGCCAGGCTGATATCTTTCAGACGCCGCAATACTTGGCAAGAATGCAGGAATGAACTAATTGTCTCCTGCAAACACCCTTCCCCTTTCACTCCGGTTTTATTCCCTATGGGAGGGGCCACCTGTGGCCTTACTCCCAAGTCAACCCTTGTTCCTTAGCTGTCTCCTTTGTATGGCAACTCTGTCCATGCGCACACTGGGAACAGGCTCCAGCTGTTCGTCTGCCTCACTGATCTCTGACTCTGATGGCAGCTGATAATTTTCAGATGACTCTAGCCCCATCTCTGCCTCCAATGCAGAACACTCATCAGAGTCTTCCCCAGACTCCAGGATTGGCCCATGTTCCTCCCCAGCCTCCACACTATGCGAATCTGCTGGCGGGACACAACAGGAACATTCTTCCTCCCAAAATTAGATTAGCTCCATCCCTTTTAATATTATGGAAATATCTCAGGGTTTGCTTAGGAGAGCAGGTCTGGGGCTCCCACAGAACCAGGGACTTGTCTAGATCAGCATTCCCCAACCGTTTCATCTTGGCGGACCAGCGGATGCAGCATCAGCAACAGTTGGTCAGGCCAGAGGGATGGAATGGTTTTGCATGTGTGTGCATGCAGCTTTCACAAATGCAGCTTTACGCATGCATCCATCACTATGGCGGTCCAGTTCAGAAAGGCAATAAATTATCCAGGCTTTGCTTGACCATTTTTCTTGTTTTGACCTTTTATAACTTTTTGTTTCATTTTACAAATGTATATTTGATGCCTTCTCAAATGACACTTGGGTGACTTGAAAATATGTAAATAAGAAAAAATGATAAGTTCATTATTAAAATGTCCCTTAAAGGCCTTAGTAAAAAGGAAGGTCTTGGGCTTACATCTAAGTTATAATTAGGATGGAGAAAGCCTCAACTCCATTGGTAATTGTTTCCACAAGAAATTAGTACTCTGGTGGAAAAATAGTAGTTTTGACCCTCAATGTAAAACTCATCCAAAGCATAACTAGCAAAGGTGCCCCACTGAAGGTCTGTGAACCTAAAGTAGATTTTATAGAAGTAGACAGTCCAGTGGGCACAAAGAAGCTGGCCTTATAATTGGTTTTGGACTGTATTTTCTATAATCATTGATGACAGTGTTGGTTGGAGCAGATGGAGATATAGTCCACTTATTCCCAATGCTTTCTGCATATTAATTTGTTAAAACAACAGAATATATTTGAAAACTACTATTACCTCATTCACTTGGCAGAGAAAGGATTCATGGCACTAACAGAAGATAGTAGCAGTCCAGCTCTTGAAAAACAAAGAGCTTCATGTGTGCATGCTACAAATTAGCCCATAGGTCTTGAATTGAAATCAGCAGTAGGAATTAATCAAAACTAACCCAAATCTGTTTTCAGTGAAATTTGGCCAAATGTATTTTAATTTGGTTGAAGTCAAGATATTTCAAAAATATTAATTTTCCAAATTATCAGTCACATGGATAGAAGCCTTTATTTTTAATAATTTCCACAACACATTTTATTCAAATTCTCAATTAGTCCCTATGTTTGTTTATTTTTTTTAAAAAAAGTGTAAAAAAAAATCAGATTACTTCATGGTTCCAGAATATTTGGCTTACTTGAGTAGTCTGTTTGCCATTGTAGAGTGGGAAAAACCATATTTCACATGCTCTTGTCTAAGCTGGTCAGTGGTCTGTTTAATTTCTGAAACATCTATCGCTTTTTTTTTAAACCAAGAATGTTAAACTGAAACAGGCAAATTTGTATTCTGTTGATCTTTGAACAGGATGCTATGGAGAAAATGGAGAAAATTGGCCGGATTGTGCTGCCAAACCACAAGGATAAAAGGTAATAGGATTTTTCAGTGAGTTTTGTTTGTTAGAGAGTTATAAAATTGCATAAAGCTATTTATGCTGGGAAATGAATTTTTTATCCCTTTGTTCTTAAATATCCATTTTTAACATATAACGTGGTAACATGTGGCCAAAAGATTGCAACCTAATGTGTAAAATGCTTTTAAAAAGATAGTAAAACCAAGGTAGATGCTATTCTGAATAATATATCAGGTGATCAGATCATGCTAGAAAACCCATGTGTATTTCTCCATTCTAACTTGTTGAGGTGGCGATAGAGCTTTTTGTGGAGTAAAGAAAGCTAATTCTCTTTCTCTATAGTTGCACTTTGTTATTTCACCAGTTTTTAACAATATCTATGTTGCAGCAAGTAGACGAATTTACAGACTGACAATAGTTAAGTAAGTTAATTCCCCTTCTCTGTTGCAAATCTCTCCCTATTTTAGATTTTCACTGGAAAATATTGCTGGGATTTCTGTATTCATGTGGGGCCATATGAATTAATGGTGCTCACCGTGTACTGTTTTTAAAGTGCTTATTGTGAACACAGGGATGCGGTGGCTCAGTGGCTAAGATGCTGAGCTTGTCGATCAGAAAGTTCGGCGGTTCGAATCCCTAGTGCCGTGTAATGGAGTGAGCTCTCGTTACCTGTCCCAGCTTCTGCCAACCTAGCAGTTCAAAAACACATAAAAATGCAAGTAGAAAAATAGAAACCACCTTTGGTGGGAAGGTAACAGCGTTCCGTGCACCTTCAGCATTTAGTCATGCCGGCCACATCACCATGGAGATGTCTTCGGACAGCGCTGGCTCTTTGGTTTTGAAACGGAGATGAGCACTGCCCCCTAGAGTTGGGAAAGACTAGCACATATGTGCAAGGGGAACCTTTACCTTTACCTATTGTGAACACATCTCCCTCCCCCTTCCAATCTTCCTTCTTTCTCTGTTCTACTCCTGGCCCTGACATGGAATAGAGAAGGCCCACAAGAGTTAATGGAGACCAGGAGACGACTCAACTTTGTTATTTGTCTCTTCTTCACTTTCATTTAGTACTGGCTGGTCAAGCCCTGCTTTTCAAATCACTGTCTTTTGTGATAGCTATTGATGCTAGAAAGAATCTATCAACTCACATATAGATAGTTCTTACGATCATAACTGGAATTTCACTCGTTCACTAACGTGGTCATTAAGTGAGGTACTGCATGACTACTTTGTTCAACACCGCAAACCTGGCTGTTTCAGTTGTGCTTGTAAAGTGAATGCACAGGTTATTAAGCAGAGCATGGGGAGAGGGCCCAGATCTTCTGGACTCGATGTGGTGATGATAAGGCACAAGCCTGCCACCATACACAGGAAACCAAACCTTGCTCCCCCAAGGAAAACAATTGCAAGGATGATGGCATTCACTACCATTTTTTTCCTTCCAGAGGGATGGGAGAATAGAAAATGTCTACTTTTTAAAGTTTTTAGGGATCTGGGCTTCCGCTCCACTTCTGCAATGCCTAACAGGCTGTGTTTACAAAACTGCTTGGAGCTTCTGTCTTCATTGTAACCTGTAAAATTAATAAACCAAGATTTCTGGAGAAAATTCCTGACACTTTCCTTTCCATGATTTTTCTAATTATTCTGCTGGTATACTGTTTATTTAACATGCTTAATTTCCTAGATACAAGAGATTCCACTTTTTTTCTAAGACTGGACTAGGTTCTCCTTCCCTCCTGCCAAGGCTCAACAAACTCTTTGGTTTTGCCTAGGAGGAAAAGCTATCCCAAAAAACAAATTTGGACTCCCATTAGGATTCCTAAACACCATAAATTCCCAACAAGAATATCACATATTTTCAAATGAAGAATTTAATCCTTGTCATCTCTTTTGTGGTCTTTGATTGGAAGACAGTATTTTTGAGCTGAGGGCCCTCTGCGTTTATACATTCAGCGGCGGCAGGATGAAAGATGAGTGGTTCAAAGTATCAGACCCTCTCTCGGAGCCCAGAATATTTCTTGCTTTCAGCTTACATGGAAAGCAGAGGATTGAACCTGAAGTGGGTTACCAGCCTCCAACAAGATGGCAGAACACACTGAGAGAATGTTCCTTTCATGAAGTTTCTTAAGTGAATTTATTTTGGGCTCAAAGAAAGTCTCTTCAAATATTAAGCAGTAGGGAAACTTACTGAAGAAGAGCGTTGGTGCCATCTGCAGGTTTTTACATATAAAGTCTACATAGAATTCTCCTATTTTTACCTCGCTATTTTCAGTGAAGACTTTAATCTGTTTATGAAATAAGAATGTGGACACAAAATGAACTCTGGCAAAATGCATCTAGATTTAAGATGTCTCAGAAAAAGTGACAGTGAAACATTTTTTCAACAAATGGAGAATTTCATTACTGTAATGCATTCAGATTCCAGTTACTTTAAATCTACCAGTCAGGACACCCTGACAAATTTTCTTTTGCAGTTGGAAAATCAAAAGGAGCGAGGTCATTAGCCATGAGGAAATAAAAGGTCACGAAGGGATGGGCCTAGATTAGATTATTTGAACCAATACTCTCTGCTTTTGAAATCGCCAAAGATTTTTTTCTTGTTTACACATTGTGTAACTTCTATTTTTAGAAAGTGGCACAGCCTCTCTAATGCATTTGGATTAAGTTTCCCACTGAATGCAATGGATATTTGATATGAACTATAGTAGCTGCTGTTTTGAAACAAGAATTCTTAAAACACACCAGATACTCTCTGGAAATATGATAACCTGAAAGAAAGTAATCCTGGTGATTTTTGTGGTTGTTAACCCCAATAACTGCAGATCGTGAAATCATCACTTTGCATGAGTAGCCAGCAAATACAAGATGATGTATTTACCTGATCTGTAAAGCCGTAGAATTCATGACCTAGATTAGCTCAGTTATAGTTCAGTCTCTTGATTGACCAATTCTTAGCTTACTTCGGTCTATAACTCATAACAGAAATATTGTATGTATGACTCTAGTAATAAGAGCCTGAGGATTAGAATCATTGAAATGAATCCCACATAATACGTTTGTGCTTCATAAGACTGGATACATTAATAATTTGTTAGAGGAATGTGACCCTTTTGCTGGTTTACAATCAAACACTTTGAATCAGGGGCATCAGGAATCAGTGGAGGGTAGAGTTTAAAATGTCAAGATAGCATTGTAATTGTGGAGCCAAATGCCATCTCTGTGTTTACATTGACCATGGTGGGGTCCAAACTCAATGGCTTGAAAGGACAAAAGGACATTGTACAACATTGTAACATTAAAAACAAATATTTGCTTGCTATAGAATGACAATGGGTATACTTCAGACATTGTCCTTCAAACTGCTAAATAAATACAATAAGAGTTGAAACAACTTATCTGTGATGGTCATTTAACTACTGCAAAATTCCTGGCTGCTTCCTTTTACATTACTTTATCTAGTGTAGCTATAGAATTTTATACAGTTTCAGGAAAGAATGCCGGGGGGGGGCAGAATTTTGCTGTAGTGCCTCATTTAATAAGTGACAAGTTTCATATTCCTTTGCAATTCTACAATCCAACAGTTGCTAAAATCTTTCTCTCACCCTTTTATAGTCTGTAGTAGAAAATAAAATGGAATCGGACATATTACCAAGGTCCCATCTAAAGCAAATCCAATGGTATTTTTTGGTGTTTCATTAGAGCAATTTGTCAAAAACTTCAGGCAGACGGCCCCCATCTATCATATTTTTCTGATTATAAGACAATACTTTTTCTTTAAAATATTTACCTAAAAATGGAGGGGCGTCTTATACACATGGGGCCAAAAGGAGAACCATGGTTGCAAAACTGCCAATACCTTATCTCTGCAAACTGGCCACATGAGTGAAACTTCCGATTGCTAACAGGTTCCCTCCAATCATGAGTCTTATGCTACTGAAATCAGGTGATGCTGCGGAGAGCGTGTAGCCAATGCCCACGTGCAACAGGGAGCGATAATATCGGAGCGTTCTGAGCCCATACAAATGTCAGAAAACAAAAAAATAAATATCAGTACCAGTAAGCAAATGTCTTAATCTGCAAAATAAATGTCTTCTATTTAATGTTTAAAATATTGATTTCTGAATTTTGGATAAGTGGGAGGGACAGATGTCCTATACATGAGGACATCTTATAGATGGAAAAATACGGTAACTGAATCAGAGCAGCATCACAGCAATATTGTACTGATCTGTGCGTCTTGTTTGTTTCATTGAGTTTAACATAGAAGGGGCTTATTGCGTTCTTCTTAGTGTTTAGATTATAAATATTGCCAAATATTTGTTGGGCTTTATGCTTTTTCCATAGGTTTTATGACAAGAAATACCAAGTGTTTCTAAAACTTTCAGAAGATCAAAGAAAATATAAATCCATCATGCAGAATGCATAGACAGCATAAAGAAGAATCATCTTTCATATTAGAGGTCTGACTGATTTCTTTGACTTTTTTGATTAGCTATTTACATTAATGAGAAACATTGTAGTAAAAATTAAAAATACTTTATAGTCTATTGAATATGAACAGAGATGTATTTTATTAAGATGATATCATGAAACAAACTTGTCAAATCTACATTTCTTGAATCAGTGTCTTAACCAGAATTGCAGCTATCATTCAGCCTTCACACTTTTCAGAATTGCATAATCTGTTAAAAAGCTTGCAAAAATATGTATTAGGCAAAAATGTGTAAAAGGGAATATATAGATGAAATATGCAAAATGCATACTTTTTAAAATTTGTAAATTTATGTGAAAATAAACTGAAGCTTGGGAAAGAGAATATCAAATTTATACAGTAAATGTACCTTCATTTGTCAGGCTTTCTATTTAATATCAAAAACTAAATTGGAGAAAGATTTCATTCTTGTTGCTTCTTGTTGTTTTTGGTAATAAAATCAAGAGTCATAATGTGACATTATGAGAATCAAGAGTTAAGTAAGAAGAAATACCTCTTAATGAACTTTGTAGAATAAATTGCTGCAAAGAAGAATTGCTAGGTAAAATTTTATACCATATTTTTTTCAATTCATTATCAGTGTAATTTTAAATGTCTTAAAACTCATTTGTCAGTCCTTCAATGTAGACTAAGTCAGGAAACAGAATGTTGGAGAATCTTGATTTTTGTTAAAAATCTGGTTGTGTTTTCCTATCCATCTTTTTTTGTATCCATGGAGTTAAGGCAGAATTCGTTTAAGTTTCTTTCTAATGTCCTTGATTTCTGGGTTTAATAAATGCATTGTTTGTTCAAGGTTTGTCTCTGTAGTGTTGCAGTTATTGTTCTTATCAAAATTAGTAACGATCATTTACATTTTTTCTAGTATCTCAATTCAGTTATTTTAACTAATCATTTTAATCTGAAATTTGCTTAATTATTCAAAGCTCTTTGAGATAAAAATAAAAGTTTAGAAGAATATTAGATAAATTCCCCTGTTCCAGCTGATAATCTCCTAGGTTTCTTATTATTGTTAACTAGATAATGTGTTTTTTGTTTATGGTCTATTAACCTATTATTTTTTCAATGTCCTACCACAAAATAATATTTCAGTATTTGGATAAGAGCCATGGTGGCACAGTGGTTAGAATGCAGTACTGCAAGCTACTTCTGCTGACTGCTGGCTGCCTGCAATTTTGCAGTTCAAATCTTACCAGCTCAAGGTTGACTTAGCCATCCATCTTTTCGAGGTCCTACTGTACTCTACTCTACTCTACTAACATCTAGACTTAGATATAAACTTTATCCTGTATTGCCACTGACTTATTTTCTCAGTACCCTCTGTTTCCTAATTCCTGTGCCTGTTCCTAACTATCAGCATCAATATCCTAATCAGGGATATATCAACTATTTGGTCTTCTCTACTCTAAAATGTATTCTTTAAACAGCAGCAATGCCTGTTTAAAGACTCAGAGACCTCACTGGTTTTAAGTCCTTTATTAGCATGAGAGCATCCTGCTAATATATTCTCTATTATTTGCTTACAATTCAATACAGCACATTAGCCCTTAATCACTTTTTCAAACTAAGTCCACTATTAGTCCATTAAAATGTGTCATGGCTGGTTAATTTTGACTTTTCAGAGACAATACAGTTCCCTCCCTTATGATGCCACGGTAATGGTTTCTTCCCTAGAGATCGTCCTGTTTGCACCTTCTGATTCCATTTGAGGGCCAATGTTTATAAAGCTAATCAAAAGTAAGATAATGACAGCTAAATTATCAGCTGTGTGCAAGATTCCACAGAGAGGTTCAAGCGTCCCTTCAATTGGGCAGGTTGTGCACATGATCGTTCCAAAAAAACAGACGACAACTCTGAAGAGAAAGATCCACATGAGGGCAGCTAGCGTGAAGATTCCTCTTAGCATAACAGGGAGAAGAAATGGCATGTCATAAAGATGATCTATAAACTAAGCACAGAGATCGGGTAAGTTAGGCACCTACTATTAATTTGAATTATTCTGATTTTAGGTGAAGGAATTTTACAGCTGGGGACTTGCCCATTGCTGAACTCCATGGATTAAAACTGAACAAAGCAAAATAATTAATTAGGCAGCACTCTTTCACCCTTCTTACTTGGGATCACCCCAAAAGATTGTTTTCCTTTGGCATGACAGCCATCATATCGCCTACTTAATGCCCCATTAAAAGAAATCACAATATGTGTAATCTAACTTCTCCTTGGGAGAATAGCCACCACAACTTCACTCATGGCATCTCATCAATGTAAGTCAATGGGATCAATTTTCTTGATGTGGAAAATGTTATCACTTACAGACTGAGGTTGTCCAGAGAAGCGTTTGTTGTAAGTTCTGATGTCATAGAAAGTTCGCTTGTTTTTCTTGTCAGGCTGGTTTTCAGAACAGGTGTACAAAAAAACAACCTTGGGGGGGAAAAACACGATGTTGAGAACCAAAGTGTAGGTTTGTCTTCTGCTAGATAGAAAGACCCAATTAATTAATTATATGGGTTTAAATAGCCACCCATTACACACTGCATGACTCTACATGGTTTATAATTAAATAGATAAATGGATACTATATAAAAATGAAAACATGCAACCATTAAGGATTATAAAACAACTATCAACATAGCCTGGATATGGGCTCTGTCCAGAGGTGGAATTCTACTGGTTCGGACCAGTTCAGGTGAACTGGTAGCTCCGATGATCAGATGAGCCCACCCGTGCTATTTTCCTACCGTTATCTTCTTAACTGATTCGCACAGCAGAGCAGAATGCCATGCGAATCAACTGTGTTACTCCTCCGAAGAAACCCGAAAGTGAAGATTTCCTCAAACTACAAGCACGTGCGCGCAACAAATCACACAATCACTGAATTGGTTACTAAACTGGGAGGATCCCACCACTGGCTCTATCACACATCCTGAGAATATGCTCCAGACTCTGGGCCTCCTCTGAATTCCATCCACCAGTCAATGCCGACTGGCGACTACACGGAGGAGAGCCTTTTCTGTTGCAGCTCCGACCCTGTGGAACGACCTCCCCGTCGAGATACGCACCCTCACCACCGTCCAGGCCTTCCGCACAGCCCTTAAGACCTGGCTATCCCAACAGGCCTGGGGATAGGTTTCCAATTTCACCCCGCCCGAGTGTTGAGTGTTGAATGCAAGTTGTGTTTTTATCATTTTATTTTATTCACATATTGTTTGTTTTTGCATTTCACCCCCTTCCCTATGATTGTAAGCCGCCCTGAGTCCCCTCAGGGAAAAGGGCGGCCTATAAATCCTAATAAAATACTAAAAAATACTAAAAATACTCGGGTACAAAATCAGGATTTCACAGCCATATGAGAATCCAGCAGGGTTGATTGAAGCTAGTCTAACCTGAGGAAATGATATTCTGAAGGCTGGGCAGCTCAGCAGAAAAGGCTATCCTGGTCCCCACCTGCCAACATCCCAACAGGACCCCAGAGCAGGCCATTTCATGATTGCTATTTCTTTGAGCTTCTGGGTTTACCCTTTGAGGTCTAGTTCTTCCCTAGCAAGCTTTCTTCTTTACGCTGAGACCATTGTGGATTTTACTCCACAGTCAACAGGTGAAGCTCAGTAGAGTATAACAGTGGTCTTTCCGGTTCTGCAGACCGGCAATGGCAGCAGCAGTAGTGTGGGGGGGGGGGATGGTTCAGTGCAACGGAGCTTTGCAGGCAAGTGCGCCAGCCCACATCTTGCACAAATTGAGTTTTGTGTGCTCACCCGTTTGCCCACTGCTTGCACAGCCCATTCCCAACAGGCTGTGGCCCGGTACTGGGCAATAGCCAGGGGTTGGGGACCCCTGGAGTATAAGGAGAAAGAACAAACTTATTTATTTATTAGATTTTTATCCTGCCTTTATTATTTTTTATAAATAACCCAATAACTGAACTTACAAAATACTCCTTCCTCACAACAACAACCCTGTGAAGTGAGCTGGACTGAGAGAGAGACTGGCCCAAAGTCACCCAGCTGGGTTTCCTACCTAAGGTGGAACTAGAACTCACAGTCTCCTGGATTCTAGGCCAGCACTTTAACCATTACTCTAAAATGGCTCTTTGAAGGCAATCAACCATGTTAAAAAAATCAAAAAATCTATTGCAGATACACTGTTTAATCATTGATAGTTGTTTGATCTGACAAGTATGAAATTAGAAATCCTGTTATCTATATTAAGGAATGAAAACCTGAAATATGAGACAGTTATTTTTGGCGTTTTTCTACCTCCTTTTGTAACTTCAAAGAAAAGATGAAAATTCTTACTTTTTGTCTGCAAAGTGGACAGTTGATTGCACTCAGCCAGGACCCATGTTTCCAGTATTCAATTAGACAGTAGCCTAGGAAAGGAAGACATGTCTTTGTAAGCCAAACGTTGCATAGTGGGAAAACACCATAGCCAACTTTATAGCTGTTCACATCAAAAGGTGATTTCTATATTACATGACCTAGCAAGGAGTAATTACACTGTTCAAGAAGGCAATAAAAACTCAAGAGAAGTAGGTAAGGTGCTCAATACACTGAAATTTTAATTCCATGTCAGCCAGTAATTAAATGGAATCCATTTACACATTTGAAAACAAAATTAAACATTGTTTAATGTTTAATGGACAAGGTTTGCATTTGTTTCCCGTATAGCAGATTTGAAGGATGGGAAAGCAAACCTTTTTCAAGGCAGGGTATTTGCGGATTCAGACATTTCAAAGTGACATCGGATCTTTCAATCATGTTTGTTCCTATTCTTTCTTTTAGTGCCCCCCCCCCCCGAAACATTATTAGTAATTAAAAATAAATATTAGCCTCATGAGAATGACACTGCAAAATGCAAGTGTTACATTATTGATACCGTGTCCATTATCAGAAAAATAGCTGTCTTCCTATTATTTTGCTGCATTAGGAATGCTACTATTTTTTTTTCATATGCACCTTGATATAAACTTTTGGGGAGCAATTTCTGCCATGAAAAATCTTGACACCAATCCTATTCTACACTGCTCTTTGGGGATAAATTTCCTGGGTGTTCTACGCTGTCCTTGAACACAAATGAGATTTTTATGCAGTGTGTGTTCACTGTTTTTAATAATTGCTTTAAAAATACTTTGAACATTTTATTTTAATTGTCTTAGAAATATAAGCCATGCAGAGAATATGTATATGTCAGTAGCCATACACATTTTATAAATTAATCTTTATAAACCTTTATATATTTATTTTACTTTCTGTATCAAAATAGATGCAAATCCACCACTCTGCTAGAATAAAATTACAAGTTATTTGGTAATTCGCTACTGTTATGTTTTAATGTTGCCAGACACCACAACTCTTTTTTTCATATATACATTGACTTCAGTTGGCAAAAATGTTCATGCAATTTCTCAAAATATTACTAAGCATAAACCCACAAATAACTTTCTACATGATGGAAAACTTTGTGGAAAAAATTGCTTAACTAAAGAAAAAAAAAAAACATCTTTTGAACACTGTAGGATTGCATGATGTGGTATCCTGCAGAGCAAACATTAAAGTGTGGATAAATTCTAGAGTGTTTTTAATAACAAAAATTAGGAGATTTGGAATACTTCTAATTTATTTATTTTTTGCCTTTTTCAGATGGCAGGAGGTAGTTTTTTTAATTTACTTAATTCTCAAGGCAACAGTATTCATAGTCTTGCTATTAAATTAGCTTAAAGCTTTGACTGCCAATTGTTTTTGTTTTGTTTGATATAGCTGTTTCTGTTGGCCTTTTGCCAGCTCAAAGACTCAAATGGAAATGTTAAGTAAGTACAGTATCTTGGTCTCAAAAGTATAAATTTCCTGTTTAATTGTCCACAAGACTTCCTGAGCATTGCAAAACTTTATAAAGTGTCTGTGGTACTATACAATAGCTGAAGTAAAAGTGCTGCTTCATTTATTTTTTTCATAATAAAAATAGTGATGGGTATATGCATTTTTACAATAGATAATCAAGATTAGTTCAAAGTTGGTAGTGTGAACATATTTAGAGATAGATCACCAACAAATGTTACGTAATGATTTATTTCATGGAAACTTTGGCCCCTATCAGCTGTCTTTTGCACAAGCATTTCATCCACAAATGGGCATTTGTTTAGCAAAATGTATATGCTCTCTACTGTTTAATTCTATAATTTCATGTAATATTAATGTTACTACAGTCTTGCAAATAAAATGTATGAGGAAACAGTAGTAGCCCAATTAACTTGCCACAAAAGAAATGTCCACAGTTGGTTTCTACAGGGAAATTAGCGGTTTGGAGACAGATAGGACAGCTCAAATCACTGGGGTAGCACTGCTGCCACTGCTGAAGACGTTCCTAAGAGAGGAGGGAAATGCTTAAATGCCTTATCTTATGTTTAAAGATATTCCAGTTAATTCCAGAAATGCTTTAGTGGCTTTAATAATTGTGCATTGACCCTAGAAAACTATGAAAAAGTAGTACAATACTTAATAGAGCATTTACTAGTTTTACATATTTCTGAATTTGCCATAGTAGTTGATATATGACTGTGGGTGTCCTTTGAAAATGGTTATGTAAGCACCATTTTTTTTTAAAAGTGGTAGGATGGGAAAGAAGCATAGTAGTGTATTAAAGGCAATCCCTTTAATACATGAAAACTTGATTAATGGAGTCATTCTGTTTTTATAAATTCAGCATATCATATTTCAAGCCTCTGTTTGGAAAACTAATCCTGCTTCTTTTTGAAGTTTCATCTCTTACCAAAACAGGAACCATATGTTTCTAATTAAACTGCCACAAAATTCTGGGATCAGTGATATTCAATTCTTCTGAAGGATAAATAAGCAGAAGTTTGAAAACTTTCCTGATACCTACGATTTTTGCACACATCTTTTGGATTTTGTATTATGTAGCTTAAGAGATATTGTAAACTTACTATTTTGGAGGATGAAGGAACACAATTCTTTTCCAAAGAACTCATTTCTTGAAGTTGAGAACTCTATAAAATAAGTAATACTTGATATAATTTTGATAAGAGCGGCTGTTGATGAGACAGATTTGGTTAGGTAGATATGCAGTTCAAATAAGCACAATGAATATTTATATAATAGCATGCACTTCCATGCTTTCATAGTTTATTCTACAGTCATAAAATCATCTTGTCTCCTCCTCAAGGATAATTTTTCTTCAAAGCAATGGCATTTGCATTTTGCACATATCTTTTCAATTGTTGAATGCATATTTTTCTAGGCATTTTCAACACAGGTACTGAAGTTTAACTGGTAATTTGATCATCTTCAATGTATGAAACTTCAATGTATAACTTTAAGCATTTGATCATCTTCAAACTTCTTTTGTTTCAGTTATTAGATGGGTAGGACTAATTAGGCGAATGCATTATCCCATTCTCTCCAGTGCATTGAAGACTCTACATTCTTGTGAATCCTTACTGCTTTCCCATATTCTGAAGTCTATGGAGAATCCTATACCAGTTCAGTGAGGCACAAGGTTATCACATTTGCTCAACTGCTGAGGTTAAAATAAATTTCAGTCTAAATAGATACTTAAATATCTCAGGCTGTGATCCTGTATCTTCAGAAATTTACTCTTTTACATAATTTTGGCACCAAAACCACATTGGTGGGAAGGGAACTCTTGCTAAGAGCAAAAGGTTGGCAGCTTCAGAATTAAAAAAAAAATCAATGCATGCAAATATATTAATTTATTCATTACATTTACATTTAGTTAATTGACTATATAGGGAATATAATTATTCCCTGTATATAATAAATATAGCAGGATTTTCCCCCACTATAAAAATGACAATTAGTGGCACTTTGGTAAAGGATATTAGGAATAGAGTTTTTGAAGTGCTTATATCGCGTTTTTATATACCTGCAATCCTCAGTAGGACGTATCTCAAGTAGACAAAGTAATGTGCTATGAGGTGATAGCAAGAGTATATTTCTAAATAATTTTTTTCAGAACTTAGTAGTATATAGCTAATTTCATTCTCTCTGAAATTTAAAAAAACCCATTTTGACTGAAATCATTTGTTTATCAAATTTAGACATCGCCCATTTCATTATTAAAATTTTAAATTAAAATTTTTAAATTATAATAAATTATATAGTTTTAGATTGGGCAAAAGTGGGGACCTAGATGTGTTCACAATCTTGATTTGTATTCTTTTAATAGTTCATATTAACCAGAAGTGATTATATTAGAAACATTTTTTTTTCCATTTTGAACTATTTCCATACTGAAGGAATAACTTGTTAGAGTCTATCATTGGTTAACTAACCTGATATATTGTTGGAGACAGTTCACTCTTTTAACTGTGCAATCCGAACAGAATCTGGAGTATTCTTTTTAAGCAACTTAACACAGGTTTGTGGACATTTACAGTTCCCGATCAGCAGACAGAGCGGGTCAAAAAAACCTTGCTTCCTTATCTTTGACCCGAGACCCCATTTGTAGTTTTAAATGACGTCTGGTTTAAAAAAAGCATAGGAGCTGCCCTCTGTTTATTTTGCGCTATGTCCAGCATCCCAGATGAGTTATAAAAAGAAATTGGTATCACACAGAGTTAATGATTCATTGAGGCATTTGCATGCTTCTTGAAAAATCTCTTCATCTCTCCTCAAAGACTAAGTCAGCAAGCTGACCTTCACCCACACTGTCTCTCTGTACAAATGCTTTTAAGTCAATCTTCACTTCTGATGACTATTTAAACTAGTCCCTGCAGTTTTCTTGACAGGGTTTTTGGAAGTGGTTTGCCATTGCTTCCTTTATAGGGCTGAGATATGGTGGCTGGCCCACAGTTACCCAGCTGGCTTTATGCCTAAGGCAAAACCAGAACTCACAGTCTTCTGACTTTTAGCTTTTTACTATTACACCACACTGGCACTCATATATTATCTATGTACACATGTGTGTGCTCACACGCACATGTACATACTGGTACATAGATAGAGCTAATACTACTTGCCATGATTTCTGGTTTAGAGGCTATTAAATTAACAAAATAAGTACACTTTAAAAAATATATTCTCTGCTTAAAGTTTGAATTTAAGATTCAGGCTTGTTTTCTGTTTACCTCAATGAGCTCTAGAGAAGAAATTTTCCGATGCCAAGCATATAAAATACCCTACTAGACCAGTTATTAGAAATTGTGGTGCGGATTTGTTTGTTTGTTTACTTAAATCCAACACTCCCCATTCAGCATGCAATCATAACAAGAGCAAGCCTTGACATTAAGATTTACATTGTAAGAACATTGTACATTGATGTGTTCTTACATAGGATTAAAGAATCCTGAGACCAGACAAGAAAAGCAGAAATAACTGAAGGCCAAATTGTATACGTCTTTCTTCCTGGCATACAATAGTACAGGAGAATAACTATTGGGTGACAGGTGGAGAAATGACAAAATCAAGTTCTATATTTATGGTTATAGTTTAGTTGTGCATGTTTCTGTTATACAGAAGCAATCAAACCTCAGGACGGGCTCAACAGTAGTTGAAAAAGGGGGTTCTGACAATTCCTGGGAGTTGAGCCGTGTGGGGCTTCATAGAGCATGACCAACATGTTGAATTGGACCTGAGAGCAGATGAGTGGCCAGTACATAAATGAAAGCATTGGGGTTACACTGTTAAACTTATTATGCTATATTTGAGCCAACTTTAGCTTCTGAGTTATCTTCAAAGGCAGCCCCATGTATAATGAATCTCAGTAACCTAATTGTAAAGTGAAGAGGGCATGAGTTATTTTCATAACAGTTTTTCACTCCAAAAAGGCATCTTGGCAAAGTGCTCTCTGGCCATGGCCTGCATCTGCTGCTCTATAGAACCTCCAAATTCAGGAGTACCTCAAATCATAGATCTGCTGTTCTCATATCAAGATATCCAACTTCACTACTGCCAAGAACATCCTGATTTTAAATGCATGTCAATAGATCTATGAAGTAGTCAATTTGAGTTTTTCTTGTTACAGCTTTTTGTATTGTAACTCATACTGTACAAGATCTCTCAAGCCAGTACACAATGAGTAAGGATCAACCTATTTTCTATAAGCTGAAACAGCTCCCCTTTGGATACAGCTTAGTACACCCTGAAATAAATAAAAATTGAATAAAGTTCAGCTAAGTTAGAGTTAAACTGTGTTCACTTTTTCTGTATTATTTCAGGGAAGATTTTAGCAGAGAATGAATAAGACCTCCAGTACTTAAACTAAAATTGAAATTAATATTTTTTATAAAATGCTCCATCTTTACTTTCTGATATCAAAAAAACAGAAAAGTTAGTTTCATACTTAAATGAAAATCCCCCTCCCCCTTATACAAAAGAAAATACAAAAACACATTTTTTAACTTAAATTCACATCATCTTAGTAACTTACCTGGTCCCAGACGAGGCACACAAGGAATTATGTATTACTACACTTTAGTAGATGCCTAGGGACAACTTTTCCCCAAAAAAATCTTCTGCTCTTCTCTCTAGGTTAGGGTGACAGCAGAGTTTTGTGATAGAAGGTCACAGCCCATAGTTTATTAAGGTGGACCATTTAATTTAGTTAATAATTAACATGTTTGACTAATGTCAAGGTTTTGTAGGATTTCCAAATACTCGTGGAAGTATTTGTTCCTCATATTTATAAGAATTAAATCATTAAAACTACTAATCATTGGATGATTTCAGGATGATGTAATGAAATGCCATAATATAAATTTACTTCAAATTTAATATGTTTCATATAAAAAGGATGTAATAATAGCTATGCTTAATGGATGTTTAACAATTATAGCAATTTGTATAAATGTATATTAGATTGATGATACTAATAATGGAAAAAAACATGAAATTGAAAATTATTAGAGAATGTTATCAACATTAAAATAATAGAATGATTTAGAATAGGATATAAAAATTCTTTATTATTGGATATATTGAAGATGATATAATAAATCATTATAATATAAATGGATACATATTTAGAATACCTTGTTTAAAATAGAGAAACAATAGTGATAATCAAACAAATGAAGTATAATAATAATGTATACAAAGATATTTGATTGGCAATATGTGAATTTTTATAAAGCTCAAGTGATGACTATGGAAAGGATGCAGAAAGACTTTGTAACCATTCGACACACTGTATGCAGTTGAAGAGGTTTTTATGTTATATGTTTTGTGTGTTTGTGTTTGTTTGAAAATAAAAAAAATTATTTTAAAAAAACAAAAAAACCCTATGATTTAGTGTTTTCAGAAAGATTCCAGATCTTAAGAGATATTAAATTAGAAACAACGCACATGTCTATTTTAAGGACATATTTGCAAATTTAATAAGAAGACATGCTATCAAATGAGCTTCAAAAGAAGGATATTAGATCTCCAAATAATTGCATCATTATAAAGTGGAGGTATAGTTCATTCTCCTTGCCAAGTGAGTTAGAATACATATAAATACAAACAGGCTACTTGCAGGGAAAGATTATTGCTGAAAAAGGATCAATGCACCTTATAATGTAGATTTGAAGTCCAAAGAGTAACAAAGAACTCCATAGAGTAACAAAGAGCCACGGTGGAGCAGTGGTTAGAATGCAGTACTGCAAGCTACTTCTGTTGACTGCCGTCTGCCTGCAATTTGGCAGTTCAAATCTCACCAGGCTCAAGGTTGACTCAGCCTTCCATCTTTCCGAGATCAGTAAAATGAGGTCCCTGATTGTTGGGGGCAATATGCTGACTCTAAACCGCTTAGAGAGTGCTGGAAAGCACTGTGAAGTGGTGTATAAGTCTAAGTGCTATTGCTATCTGGCTACCTATTTCTGATTATTCCCAGGATGGATTAAATGGTTATTTATTACTTGCCTTCAGGTGGTCTGTGTAGCTTCAGAATGATTTTAGAGTCAGCAGCAAGCAAAGATAGATCTAAGAAATCAACTTGTTCTTCAACCATCCCCCGATCTCAATTGAGTATAGATATGTGAGAAA